AGTTGTCAGTAAATCAGGAGAGCTTATTGAGATATTTTAGTGCAAGGACCTTTTTAAACTTATCTAAAATTGACTCAACTATAAAAACCAAGAAAACGAAAAGAAAAGATGTAGAAAAGCAATAAAAATAACCATTTAAGGCTGTTGTTTTCCATGGGAAGGGGAAATATATTATATACATTGTATTATAAACGGATTCTCGAAGGTGATTACTCTTGTTGACAAGCTCCAGGGAACGTCTCCACGTGCTACTTTTGTTGGGTAAATTTAAAGTTTCAAAAAATAAGTTTCTTGTAGCGTATTGATTACATGTAGGTTAAAAAAAGAATATGACGCGCTAAATTACCAAATGTGTTCAACTTATCATGGTACACTCACAGTTATTTTACTATTACTTGATTTTAAGGATTGTCTTGTCAGGGAGTCGAGCGAAATGGCTTTTGTCAAAAAGGTATTTTACCTGGCAGCCGTGTTCGGTATGTCGCAACTGTTTTGTAAAGTGGAGACAGAGCAATGTAGCAAACAAAATAAAGAAGCTTCCCAGCTTGGCATGATGTTACAGCGACACATCTTCAAACAGATGACAAAGCCTTCTTATGTTTGTCTTAAGGAGTGTCGCCTTGACTTAAGGTGCCAAAGTTTCAACTACTTTATTTCCAAAGAGTTGTGTGAATTGAACAATCGCACCAAGGAAGCAAGACCTGAAGATTTTGTTCCAGACCCTGACAGATATTACTTTGAACGAGACGTGGGCAGAGGTAACTATTCATAGCTTTATCAAGTTCCTTCCTAACCCAGTTTAGGGATTTTTTTCCGCTTCTCAATTCAGAAAAAGAGGCACAGCATTTTGTTGTTAATGCGAATAGCAAAATTATCATGATAGAAAATATATACAATAACGATCGAAATTATCGGACACTTCGGATGAATGTTGGAAAGTCTTTACATCTTCACAACTTGACATCACCTTCGGAAATAGTCGGAATTCTTCGGGTCATCTTCGGAAATTTTTGTAGGTCTGCAGTTAAACTTTAGAATCTTATGGTTGTCGTGTATAATCTCTGGGAATCCTTGGAGTAAACGGATCAAAATGCAATAATTCTTTTGCCCTCTATGTTTTAAACCGAGCATGAAACGATGTCGATATATAGTTAACATCTTATGATTCAAGAATCACATGGGAGCTTTAGCACACCTTATGAATATCATGGATTAATGATATTTGCTTTCCAGTCCCACTGGGCTCAATCCCTGAACTGCCTGCTGAATCGTGCCATGAAATCAAGGCGAGTGAAGAAGGACAAGCAGTCAGTGGAACCTATTGGTTTTATTCCATTATACCAGACAAGGTTGCACTTGCATACTGTGATATGAAAACCGAAGGTAACTTTACCCTTAAAAATTTCATTTTTGTGTCGCTGTTTTGAAGTGTCCAGTTACCCAGAGCTTTTGCAGAAAAACAAGGACATTATATGTGGCTTTCTGTTTAGGAAAAATGGTCTTGTCAGTTACAAGTTTTTCGTTGGCAGGTGAACCCCCCCTCCCCCTCAGAGATTTGTGACGTCATATACGTAGATTTCTTTGCAATATTTAACAAAGAGAAATCGTCAATTTACAGCGCTAGAGTCAAGGAAAATTTGATTCCAAGGTTGGCTATTTTCCAATTTTTAGATTTCGTACCTCAAATTATGCCATTAACTTTTGATAAAGATAAACAGTTCTGTTTTTTTTAAAAGCAACAACCTCAGTTTAGATGGTATCTGACATAATGCAGTTCTTTTGAAAGAGCAATACCAGATGCCGATAACGAACTGACTAAAGTTGTACAAGCGTGTCCAGCAACAAATCAAAACCAGAATTCGTAATGGACTTTTGTCGTTAAAACATATCTTGCAGATTTTACAACGCACTAACAGTGCAAAATTGTTGTAGCCACACCTACGAAAATTTACTTCACCTCCTATATGGATGACTCAGAACTCAAACTTTTTGGCAAATGGTGATCGCCTGGTGGAACGAAAAGCGATCGGAAACTGTCGCTTTAAATGCGACAGATATTTTATATGGTTATAAACCAGAATCAAATCTTTTTCAAGCCCTTAACCATTCTGTTATTATTGCAAAATACCACATCTACCTTTCGTGGTTAAACGAAGCCTCTCCCAGCTTTGAAATTTTCAGTTTGTTACTCAATGAAAAGATTCTTTGTGAACGTACAATTGCTTTTAAAAATAGTACACTGACGAAATTCAGAGCAAAATGGACAACACTATGTGCATGAGCTACCCCAAATATCTTTGTCTCAGAGGATGTGGCACTTCCATTTTTTCTACTTCGTCTTTCATTCTTATTTACGTTTTGTTAGTTTTATTTCTCTCTCTCTTATTTAGGCTAAACCTTCCAGATGTTCAAACCGTGACGTATTTCCTTTAACTAGGGACATTTGAAGTATTTACCTTAAAAATTAAGTTACTATGAAACTCCAAAACCAGGGGTGTTATCTGATTCTATTCAGTTTAAAACATTAGAAAAGATAACTTTATTTGCTGTCCCATCTCCAGACATGGACGAATGCAATTCCTCAATTTCTGTCTGTCACGTCAGTGCCACGTGTCAGAACACCATTGGTTCTTATCACTGCTTATGCAACAGCACTGGGTTTATTTACCGAAATGGAAAAGGTTGCGTCGGTAAGTATAACATGACTACATGTTAACGTTCACATTAGCCTAGTGCTCTGGAACTCGGCCTTTTTCAAATAAATTAGTAGGAATGATCAAATTCCAAGGGTTAACAGACTCTGTCCTATTTGCGAATCTAAGCAGAATAGGCCACGTTCGATATTTCAATATTCTGACATGGCTGCTAGGCTTTGAGAACAAACTTCTGTATTTGGCGTTGTTTTCTTTGTTTCCGAGTCTCTTTTGGGAATTGAGAGACAAAAGAAACTTAAAAAACTTGCAGTTTTGACCCAAAAACCTCGGATCGATGTTAGAATATTGATATATCGAACGTGGCCCATTGAAGATCAATCTCGCTTTCTTATGTATTGCATTAAATACTCTATTTTCTAATAAATGAATTTTATAGAAAAATAGAAAATATCGTTCGGACTTTTAAACAATTATGTCCGTTACAAGCCATCGGCGAACCTATGACCACTGCAAATCATTATGTTAATATTAAATTAGCAAAATTCGTGTCATCTTGCTTTCATCTAACAATAACAAAAACAATAGTTCATTGACACTCCCCTGATGGGGCTTTTCAGTGACAATAGATATAAGCAATATTCCACTTTCAAATCAAACCGATGAAACTTGATTGCTATATATTAGTTGTTGTCGTTGTTGTTGCTGCTGTTTTTGTTGTTGAACAGTGGTCTCAGAATCTCATATCTTGTGTTGTAACTTATTACTTTACTCGAATTACAGCACTAACTAGCAATCACTCGATTACCAATCGTTTATTGATCTTTGTACTAGTTGTACAAAACAAACTAACTACGCCGCGTCAGAGGGTTTACACTAAGAAAGGGTTATAGCAAAGTGCAACAGGAAAACGAGTGTTAAAGGGTCTTAGCGGAGCTCAAATACGGTATTTTGAGCTATTTTGACTACGTACAAAATCTCAGTATTATAAGGAAATTTTCAAGGTAGAAATTTTTTCAAGGTAGAAACATTAACTCGGAAAAAAATTCCGGGTTCCAGATGGGATTTGAACCCACGACCCTCCGTGATCTAGTCGGATGCTCTAAACACTGAGCTAATGGAGACTCTATGGTGAGCAAGGGTGAAATGTGGGTCTTTGACTGGAACCGCATCGCGCAGTCACACCGCCAAATGATGTCTTGGCGCATATGAACTCGCTAACTGCATCGGGCAGTCACATTAAGGCATATCAAAGATGCAACCAACCACCCTCCAAAGTGAGTATTATAAGGAAATTTTCAAGCTAGAAATTTTTTCAAGGTAGAAACATCAACTCGGAAACATCAACTCCTTTAAATTAAAGAAAACCTCAGTGAAAATGGTAGTTTACTAGGATAGAAAAATACCAAAGAGACGATAATAAATCATAAAGAAACAAGGACGCTTAAGGATGGAGAAGATTAACATGAGTGACAAACGAGAAACTTGAAAAATTTAAGCTACACTTTTCAAGATGCGCAAACTTTCATGATTTCGATTAGAAAGCGAGTGATTAGGAAAGTTAGCAAGAGTCGTCCTCATCTGAGAATCTTCGGCAAACTTCGTGAGAAAACCGTAAAGATTCCGTTAACCCCTTCGGATTATCGTTGAAAATCTTCGTCCACAAGTCACGTATTGCGCTTCTTACCTCTTTGTTTTGCAGATGTTGACGAATGTGCCGAAGGGTCACATGAGTGTGACGTAAATGCTGACTGTAACAATACTGCGGGGTCCTACACATGCTCGTGCAAACCAACATATTTTGGAAACGGAAAACATTGCGCAAGTTTCCGTGAGTTTTACTCTTGTCGTATTTGCAATGATGGTGTAAATTAATAAACGAACCCCTTGTCCACAAAAAGTCTTTGTCCACAAGTCACCTATTGCTCTTCTCACCTCTTTGTTTTGCAGATGCTGACCAATGTGCCGAAGGGTCACATGAGTGTGACATCAATGCCGATTGTAACAATACTGCGGGGTCCTACACATGCTCGTGCAAACCAACATATTTTGGAAATGGAAAATACTGCACAAGATTCCGTGAGTTTTACGCTTGTCATTTTTGCAATGATGGTATAAATTAATTAACAAACTCTTCTGTCCTGGCTTTGTAATCTTGGGATAACTTTTTTTTTTAAGTCGGCCATGCGGGGTTAAGCAAAAGATCAAGATTTATTTTTGTCTCATACAAAAACAAGGCCTTCGAATTCTGGGTGGGTCACATTCGCGGTGGCCTCATGGTTAGTGTGCTCGTTTCCGGATCTAGCGGTCCGGGTTCAAGCCCTGGCCGTGGACATTGTGCTGTGTTCTTGGACAAGACACTTAGCCCTGACAGTGCCTCTCTCCATCCAGGTGTACAAATGGGTACCGGACTAGCATGCCATCAGGGGAGAGTAAAAATATTCCTAGTCGCTTCAGGCTACAGAGAACGGGATAACTCCGACCTTATGGGCCACTTGGCTCGTATGTGGACTTTATCTTTTTTTACCATATTCTGCTAATTTATTTATTTGTTGTTTTATGTATTTGAAGTACTTTTGTCTCTTGTACCCAGGAGGGCTCGGTTCATCCACTATTCTTGGCGACCTCAATCACAAAAATTACACGGAGAAGCTGATTTCCTTTTTGGACCCAGTCCTCCTGAGCTCACAACGTAGCTGGTTTGTGCGGTGTTGGCATGCCAAGACAGACGGCTCGGCTGCATCGATATTCCACAACAACTGTGACGGAAAGGGACCCACCGTGACAATCATTAAGTCCGGCAGCTACATATTTGGTGCATATACCGACGTGTCCTGGCGTAGCAGTAAGTATCTTTTAGACAGTTTTTTAGCTATACGGCCCGGGGTTGGTACACCCAGAACAATTGGGTGGGGGTGTGTGACTCGCTTCTCAAAACCCTGACCCTATTTAAGAGCAAAATCTGCGAATTTTACAGCCTCATTTATGACCTGACCAAAAATTAGATACCCTATTTATGACCTGACAGTTAAATCCATACCCTGTTTCAGACCTGCCTTTTTAAGTCTCATAATTAGTTCCCTAGTTTAGACCAATGTTAAAGGCAATGTTTATTTAAGAAATAGAAAACATGTACCGTGTTTCTATCGAGTTATAGAAAAACGAGTGGAAGTTTGGGAGAACGAGAAATGCTGTGGGATCACGAGTCGCAGGCGAGTATTTCCATAGCTTTTTCGAGTTCTCGCAAACTTTCACGAGTGTTTCTATAACTCGATAGAAACACGAAGAACATGTTTTCTATTTCTTTTAGGAAAACACCGCCACGAAAAAAAGGAAAACAGCTTGTTAACTTTGATTATCAAAATGTAAATTCTCTTTGCTCGCGCCACCATTACGTCAAAAGCTCGTGCTAGTTCTGTGTTTTTTTCGAGTTATAGAACACGATTTTTAACCAATCAGCGCGCGTATTTTCTTAGGACTGTTTTCTAAATGCTTTTATTAGGTAGGATAGCTTCATCTAACAAACATACCCAATTTAAGACCACAGTGCAAAAAACATACCCTATTTGAGACCAAAATGGCCAAAATCTATACCATATTTCTAACAAAAACGGCTAAAAAACATACCCTTTGAGGCTGCAAACACCTATATAGCCCATATGAGAAAGTACCCCCTCCCCCCTTCCCGGGCGATACAGTTTCTTTTTGTTGGNCCCCCCCCCCCCTTCCCGGGCGATACAGTTTCTTTTTGTTGGTGTTTCTTTACAGCCGAGATATTTGGGATGTTTCAAAGGTTTCTCTTCTATTTTAGCTCCTTGCGACTACTCTACAGCCAGTAAAGCTTTCATCTTCTCGCTTTACAACGCCAAAGGATATAATCCTGTTAAGCTGACGCAGTATCAAAATCAGGAAAAAGGAATGTATCGTTGTTCCAATTACGGGCCCACTTTTGGTTCTAATAGTGGGGAACACGATATCTACATATCGGACAACGCTTTGAGCAACCAAACTTCTCATACCCGATGTGGCTCTACGTACTCCGTCCCCCCCGGATATTCAGCTGGTGACTGCCGGTTTTTCGTTGGGGCCACGGGGGATAAGTTCATTCCCACTGACATTGAAGTGTTCTACGAAATAGGTAATAAATATTGGCAAATAAAGTGGCTTCAACCAATGTTTTCACTACGATAAACGACTGGCTGACGATGCTCGCGCCACGCTGTCATCCAATCAAAAGTGGTCTAAGATCGCGACTCGCTCGCGCGCGTTTTCCCACGTTTCTCCCCAGCTACATATATTTGGTTCTGGTTTGATTGATAATTCCTCGTGTAACCTGTTTTTCAGGATAAACGCTACAATTTCCTTAAGAAACCTGCCTCTGTCAGTACAATCAATTGCAGTATACTTTATAGAGTAAAACTTTAGATTTTCGACTATGTTGCACAGATTTCCGACTACTTTCTATAAACTTCCAAAATTGTTAGGTCTTATTATCATTTCGGAACATTTTCTAAGCATGTCTGCCGTAGTTTGCAAAAAACGTGAGTATGCGTGCTTAGTTACAGAAACAAGAACTTTATACTCAGTGGATTTTCTGTCTCTTCAAAAAAGAACAAATTTTGTTTCATTTCAAGGGGACCTCGGCGCATCTGCCATTCTTGGGAACCTCAGTTACAGCAAATACTTGGGGAAGCTAATTTCTTATTTAGACCCAGTGGTCCCGGATGCATTCCGCAGTGAATTTGTACGGTGCTGGCATGCCAAGACTGACGGCTCGGCTGCTTCCACATTTCACAGTAACTGTGACGGAAAGGGACCCACTGTGACTATCATTCAATCCGGCAGCTACATATTTGGAGGATATACGGATCTTTCTTGGCAAAGTAAGTATTCATGAGACAGTTTCATGAACGGACCTCGTTTCTGAGGCCGTTTAGACCATTGCGAGACCTTGTTATTGTTATTAGTTTTCTTCCACAGCCAGAACAATTCGATGTCATTTATGCAATGAAGACAAGTTCTCGCCTAACACCAATATGATCTTATAATTCTTTCAAGAATTACCAGTTAGATCACGCGAAACGCTTATCAAATCCTCTCGACTTGCACCTTTGTTGCGCTATGATTGCAGTTTTTCTGAATCAATTTTTTTGATAAAAAATAAATCTATCAACGCGATTCCTTTTAGTGTGGTCTTTGTTTTAGTCAGGTTGTTAGACTACGAGTAGTCCCTCTTCGTTAAGTCCGTCCTGATCGACGCGAACGAAAACAGCGAGAAAAGAAAATGGCCCCCAGGATTTCGCACTGCCATTTTTTTCTTAGAGGTTCATTTACGGTCGAGCTTGACGGCCTAAGCAAAAGAGGGACTACTATATTCGTAAGCTAGCTGATTGTCAGAATTTTTATACGTCTGTTTTCACTTTAGATTCTGGCGGTTACACTACAGCTAGTAAAGCTTTCATATTCTCGCTCTACAATGTAAAAGGATACAATCCTGTGAAGTTGACTCAGTATCAAAATCAGCAGTATGCAATGAACAAGGAACACAATATCGGCCCCAGCTTTGGTTACGGGCCTGATATCTACATATCGGACAACGCTACGGTCAACCAAAATTCTTCTACCCGGTGTGGCGGAACCTTCTCCTTTCCCCCTGGATATTCAACTGCTGGCTGTGAATTTTTCACCGGGGACAGTCATTTTACTCCAACTGACATCGAAGTGTTTTACGAAATAGGTAACAGATTCATGTTTCTTTGTTGGGTTGATGTAATATTTGCCACAGTTGTTGTTTTTGGATTGAAGTTTGACATAATACATTTAGTCTTGTGAAAAACATATTGCCATGACAACGGATGAACAGAAAACCTCGAAATCTGACCGTTTTGCTACTAAGGAACCGTATTACAAAACTTAGAAGGAGTATGCCCGGCTGAGTTTAGCCTATTTTATTTAGTTTTGCCGAATACTCAGTATGAAACTAAATGTTAGCGAAAACATTAATTCTATGAATTTAAATGGCGAAGTCATAGCTTTATTACAAACAAATACTTCTCCCAGGATTATAATTAAAAGTGGTAATCAAACGAGATTAACTTTGAAAACTGTCCAACCTAACAGTTTTTCAAAAACCCATTTCGCCATCTGTTTAAATCTTCTTCAATTTCTGTTCATCCGTACCTTCTGTTGTATTTGTGGTATTATTGAAATGTTCCCTCACTTTTTTTCAGTTGTTATTTTTGTATTTCATGTAATTTAAAGGTCACTTTCTTATGTCGAGATTTGTTAAAATCAACGCCGCAGTTCACTTCTTGTCTCTCGTACCCAGGCGGTCTCGGTTCATCTGTTATTCTTGGCGACCTCGATCACGAAAAATACTTGATGCAGCTGATAAATTACTTAGACCCAGCTCTCCCGAGTGCATCCCGGAATTACTTTGTGCGGTGCTGGCATGCTGAGACAGACGGCTCGGCTGCTTCCACATTCCACAGCAACTGTGATGGAAAGGGACCCACAGTGACCATTATTAAATTTGGCCAATACATATTTGGTGGATATACCGATATGTCTTGGAAAAGTACGTATATATTTCTAATTATCATTAGATGTATTTTTCTTCCCTTTCATTGGCCGAGAGCCCACCACGTGATCTCTAGAGATAATGATTATGATACTGACGATGACGATGTCGATAACGATGATAATGATAATGATAATGATAATAATAGATTTCTATAGTGCCCTTTCTCCACAATTTAAGGGCGCTAATAACATATCATGTAGCCTGATCGATTAAGAAAATGTAAAACGTTATCGGGACGAAACGAGCTGCGTGAGACTAGCCACGAACAATGTATTATCCAAGTAACTGTCAACTTTATTGTCAGTTATCATTAAAATGTCGAAAAAGCGAAAAATAAACAAAATACCATAAAAAAGGTAAAAATCCAAAAGATCTAATTTAGAAAGCCCGTTTAAAAAGAGCAAACTAAGTGTCAGTGTCAGTGTATTTGCCTGAGCCTTCGGCTTCGGCAAATAATTGATCTGCTCGCCACTGACAAATTATGATAATTTGCTCAACCTTGACTAATAATTTTTGATTATTTTTCTGGTCCTCATGAATAATTGTTCAGACTGCTTGTTATTGTATACAGTGAACTCATTAGTGTCCGCTTTACAATAATACAGGGTGTCCGCTCTAAACAGGTTCTAAAATATAGTGCAATAATAGTTAATTAAAACCTTTTGTAACACAGTGTCAGATGAAAGACTGCTTATAGCACAATGTCCAGTCAGTCAATTCATCAATCTGGAATAATCTACTTAGCTTTAAAACGACATCGCTGAGCAATGTTAAAGAAGTCTAAGCCAAGCTTTTAGTAGTAAAACGCCCTTGAAGCGTCCGCTTGTTAGAGGTTTTTTTTGCAACGAAGTGGCTCAATATTGGTGTCCGCGTCCGCTAAATAGAGGTGTCCGCTGAATGCAGGGTTATTTTACAGTAAATATGGGAAGAAAATTTCGGGACTCAAGCAGGTGCCCATGCACTTAATAGAGGGTGTCTGCTTAATATGGGGTCCACTTAATAAAAGTTTCACTGTAGAAAGATCATGCTTTTGATCGATTTTAGTTCGTTCCTTTAATTTGTCATCGCTGTTGTGTTAAATATAAACGTTCTCTGCGCATGGTTTGTCAAGTTATCCCCAGTGTCAGTAAGGAAGTCAGGCTAAGGCTCTGTCGTCTACTTCAGTAATCAAACACTTGTTCTTGTTGCTGCCGTTGTTTTTCTGTTCTGAAGCATTTTTGTCCCCTCTTCTTTTGTTTTTAACTGTCACAATTTGCTTGTCGTCATTTCAGGTTCCTGCGGTTACTTATCAGCCAGTAAAGTTTTCCTGTTCTCGCTTTACAACAAAGATGGATATAATCCTGTCAAACTGACTCAGTATGAAAATTATCATCTTGCAATGTATAGCTGCTCCAGCTACGGACCGACTTTTGGTCATCATGCTATCTACATATCGAACAACGCTTTGAGCAACACAGGATCGTATGCCCGTTGCGGCTATACATACTCCGTTCCAACGGGATATTTAGCTGGTAGCTGCGGATTTTTCACTGGTGGTCATCATTTCACTCCTACTGACATTGAAGTGTTTTACGAAATAGGTAACTACAATTATAACATGCTCCTTTAGCAGGAGAGGCTAAAGGATAAGAGGGTTCATATACATTTTTAAGCAATACTGTAGTGATCTCGCCGCGCCATTTAAGGTTATTCCCCAGTATTGCATTGCGCATCCCTACTGCGCATAATTTCACGTGTGAT